CGTTTTCATCAACCCTTTTGATGGCCTGCAGCCACAGACGCCTCCGATTTTGTTGAAATGGATGTGCTTCCTTCGGAATTCTGTAAAGTTTCAGTCCACTGCTTGAAGAGAAGCGATTCTGGCATCCATACACGCAACAACCCGACATTTTTATGTGCTCAGAACTTCAAAACAAAGGGTTTAAAACGCTGTTTTAGTATCGAGTGTGAATGAGGAAGCCTTCACTCTCGTTGCCAGGCTGCGCGCGCAACTTTTGATGACGTAGGTAGTAAAAGGGTCTATTGTTGGTCCTCACTCAGGTGTTGCAGGAAATCTGAAAACGTTTAGAAGTGTTTGTTTAACAAATTGCTTCTGAAAATAATCCATCCTTATCTTGAACTCGTCTGAAAAAGACAAACGGGGTCCATAGTGTGATATATTAAGGACAGAAGGAGGAGATTTTGAAAATTAAACATCCATAGTTCTCGCCTCGGTCCTCCTCCCTTTCTGGAAGGAGCTGAAACCCATACCTAAGACTGCACACACTCAGGAAAAGTGTCCCAAGAGAGAGAGAGAGCTAAAACAATAGTCTGATGTAGCACAAAGTTGAATGCTATGCTGATTACTTAGCTCCAATACACAAAACATAAATTCCTATTCATCCCCCCTTCCGCTTTCACAGTTAGCTTGATGTGTACAGACTGACATACTGGGTGTTTCTCAATGCCAAGGAACCTTGCCTTGATGTCTTAGCCCCGCCCCGGTTGCCTAGGAGATACGTCATTAGGAGCCGCCAAGACGTGTTCCAGTGTTCATGTTCTACCTAGGTGTGTGTTCTCCGTTTGTTAGTCGTTTAGCTAGCTGAGCAAGGATACACGGGAGGTGTCTTGTAGCCTAGCCTTGGTCAAAGATGACCCAGAATACACCACAGTATTTTCAAAAGGATGGCGGATCAGAAGCTGGCAGCTACTTCGGGGGCAAATTTCAAATTTAAAAGTAAGTCAACAAATTTAAAATGTTTTTTTTTTTTAGATCCAAAGAAGTTATCTATGGTTGGTTAGTTGCTTATTAGTTGCAGCTTCGGTGGCTAGCGGGTAGTAACTCGCTTATATATTTAATTTAACAAATATATACACAATTTAAAAAGTAAAAGGCTCGTTATATATTTATATTGAAACTAATACATATAAAATATAACGTTATCTCCAGTGTCACGTGATGTTACGTGACCGCAGTGGAAGCCGCGGTCACGTGATGCAAGTCTGTTCCATTTAATCGTTTTCTTTGACCAAGGAAGGACCGTGTCCTCAAAACAATTTATATATATATTTTTGTATTTCAGGGACTTTTAACAGACAAAATTCTCCTTCATTCTAACCTCAACTTCTAAACCTACATATCCCTTCATTTTTGTCCACCAATAAAACTCTTGCTCCATATCTTCGTACTCCTTCAGACATGGGTGGATAAATGTTCTTATTTTGAACTTTTTTTATGAGGCATTCTTCAATGCGTTCCATGTCTGTCGCTAAATTTCTATTTATTGTTTGAGGGGGGAAAGGTTGTGTTGTTCTTGACTTAAACGGAAGCAGCGTCCTGACCAATCACAAGCTTGCAGTCTCCGTCAATTTTCCGGTGAACCTGTTTCAGGACCTGAGCTTCAGACAGCAGGATTTGGAGTCTTAATTTCCTGATGTCCGCACATCTCGCCTCAGATTAGAATCAGATACGATTCTACCACTGACTTTGTTTCCTCTGTAACATTGATGTTTTAATCTCCACAAATAACACAACCCTGGAGGAGTTCTGCTGTGTGGTGGAGTTGCTAATGCTAATAGTTAGCTTCTACTGGCCAAGATGTTTTCTGCTTTTTCCTGGAGACTAAACCCACAACAGCATAAAGTAAATGCTTCATAAAGTAAATCCAACATGATTCCTAAATACTGCTGCAGCCTTACGTGTTCGACACGTTGCATTTACAGCAGGAGCCTGATAAAAGGCAGATGAATGTTTACCCCAGATGTTAATTTCCTGCATCTGACGTGTCCTATTGCTTCATAAAGGTGTGAGGACAGTTATTGTTATGCTTAACAGACCTTCCAGTGGCCAATGCCTCTGGGACAAAAGTGTAATCTGGAAAAATAGACACTCCAATCAGTATAAGGAGGCTTTAACACACAGCGTCACACAATGGTGAATTAAAATAGCTTTTCTTCAATTCGGATTAAGTATGAAGCAAGAAGGGGGGATGAAAAACCATCCTTGTTTTACATTATTTGCATGATGCAAAACTTAAAGAATTATAATTTTAAACTGAAAATTGCAGTTTAGATTAGATGTTTTATCTGTAAATGTGTGGATCACTGAAAAACCATTTTTCAAAGATTATTTCTGATTGTAACTGGTCACTCTTGAGTTTTTCCTGCAGGCTGAACATGAACATAATCCCCTACACGGTGAAAATCTAGGATTTGAAAAACCTGACAGATCTTCATCACACTTTCACTTAACATTCATGGACTCACCCATCCTGACCCGCGACGGGGAAGGCTTTCAGCCTTTTTATTTCAGCTTTCAGCCATTATGCTTATGGCTGCATCAGATAAACCCAGCACACTTTATGCACATGCTGAGGTGGTTGGGTGTTTTTAAATGTAGAAGGTCAGAAAAATTCCTGATAAATTGTACTTTTATTAGATTTTTCATGATAAATCACATTTATTTATTGATTTATTCATATGCAAATAAATGAGTTTGGTTTCTTTTTGAAATGTTAAAAATAAAACCTGCCAACACATCCAGAATGTGTTTGTCTTCTCTCCAGTCCTGGGTAAATAAGCTTTGGGTTCTACATAATTGTTTTATTTATTCTACCCCCTACCTTTGAATGGTTGGATTCTTCAGAGGGTTTCCAGCAGCAGCTAGGTGCTGACACAATCTGAGAAGCCCTCTGGGAGCTGTGGTAGGTGAGCACCTCACATTTCCCCCTGACAGCATTTCACAACTCAGCCTACAGCTGTGTCAGGTAAAGGTCAGGGGAAGAAGAAATGTGTGATTCAGAGGACTATGCTGGATTCAGTCTGCTTCATTACCACAGCCCAGCCCTCGCCTTTCATGTTTATTTTTCTTACTGATCTGAACAAAAGGAATCATGTGGCTATCAAGCAGGAAGCTTTACAACCAATAAAATGATTCTAATAATAATTTTTATGTGTATTTTCCCCTAATATTAGCCTGTTTCTCTTTTAAAAAATCTGTTTGCGATATTTAGTGTCTTGTTTTATTCTCTATTAGCCATCCCTCATTTGTTATTTTCATATTAACAAAGATTTGTGCTGTTAATAACTTGAAATCCTACCATTTATTAACCCTTTGATGCATGAATTATGAAATCTTCAACCATGATTTTTTAAACAATTTTTTCATTCATCTTTAGGTGTGAATGAAACAAATTTCAACAAATATTTTTGTAACATTTTGTTAATTTACAAATAATTTATTACATGTCCATCTCAGTGGACAGCGTGCATTCTGAACATGAAATATGTTGGCTTGACTTGCTGAAGCTCAAATGGAGGGGCTCACATGCAATAAAGTCTTCAACAGCTGTGCTAAATAGCAAAAATTAATAAATAACAATTTTGAGTACCTGTCCACTGTAGTGACCACTATGCACCAAAGGGTTAAGGCGACATTAATCAGAGAGGAGGGCCACCGTTTCCCTTGATCCTTGACAATTGTGTTTTATTTTATTGTATTCATAAAAGCCCTGGAAAATAACATGGGGTTGCAAAAAATGAATGCAATAATAAAAGAGTAGTTGTTATTTCCAAACAATTTAATTCAACTGAGTTTATTTGTTTCTATATTAAGAGCCACCTTAAGGCACTTTACAAAGCAAACATTCCAGTTGAACTATTGAGTTCAGTTGGTTGTGTTTTAATTATTCATGATAAAATAAATATTCCCCAAATTCAGACTTAAAAAAGCTTATTTACACCTGTTTTTATTTATTTTTTTGTAGATGCTTTTATTCAAAGTGATCTACAGTGTAACTTAACATGGATGTTTTTGGTCTGAAGTACCTGGAGAAAATCCACGCATGCATGGAGAAAACATGTTAAAGGTGTGGAACACTGAAAAAACCCCCCAACATTTTTAATAATTTCTGATGCTGGTCCAAGACGGGATGCTGGCCTGGCATGCATGTCCAGAATCTAATAAATTACCAGCATCACATGTTATACCAGCATCCAGAACACAACGCATGCTGTTATTTTCAGCAAGGTTGGCTCGCAACGGAGATTGCCTTTTTTTTGTGTGTGTCCTGGGAACAGCTTTCAACGTTTCGCTAGCAGAAGCTAACCGTTAGCATTAGCAACTGAACCACATGGCAGAAGCTCCTTCAGGCTTGTGTCATTTGTGGAGATACAACATCAGTGTTGCAGAGCAAATGGAGTCAGTGGCAGAGTTGCGTTGCTGTTAGCCAATCAGAGGTGAGATGTCCAAATATTAGGAAATAAGACTCCACATCCTGCTGTCTGCTGCCACTCTGCTGCAGCAGACTTGTCTGTGCTGATCCAGGCGCTTTGCCTGTACCCCCCGCCAGGATTCAATCCTGCAACCTTCTTGCTGAGAGGCAACGGTGCTACCAACTGTGCTGCCAGGCAGCATACTTTTTGCGTGTTATTCTAACCTCCCCACCATTACAAAAAAGAATAGCAGCCAGATAAATTGTCCTCATGTCGACACAGATGGTTAATTTAATGAAAAGACTTAAATAATTTATTACACATATTATGTGCCACAATATTTATTTTATGTGTTGTTCACACTCATTTAGGTTTGTCGTGAACATAATCAACTGAACAATTTTAGTTTTTTAATCTTTTGTGTTTTCTCTGCTCAGCTTTGGGTTAGAACTTTTCCTTCAGTTTTATCAATCATGCGCGGATCAATTCTGGGACAACAATACAGTCAATTTTATAAGCTCATGCCTCCTGCACGTTTCTGTCTCACAGTACCGGATCGGCCAGCTGTACATGATCAGTAAACACAGCCATGAGCAGAGTGATCGAGGGGAAGGCGTGGAGGTGGTCCAAAATGAACCGTTTGAAGACCCGAATCATGGCCAAGGACAGTTCACAGAGAAACGAGTCTACCTCAACAGGTCAGTGGATCTCTCGTTAGACACCGTTTGCTTCACGTTTAGACTGATTGCCAAATGTTTAAATTAAAACCTGATTTAGTCTCTTTATGAACATCAACTTCATATTTATCTTAACCCTTTGATGCATAATGGTCACTACAGTGGACAGGTACTCAAAATTGTTATTTATTTATTTTTGCTATTTAGCACAGCTGTTGAAGACTTTTTTGCATTTGAGCCCCTCCATTTGGACTTCAGTAAGCCAAGCCAACATATTTCATGTTCAGAATGCATGCTGTCCACTTATTTGTAAATTATAAAATTTTACAAAAAATATTTGTTGAAATTTGTTTCATTCACACCCAAAGACCAATGAAAAAAATTGTTTAAAAAATCATGGTTGAAGATTTAATAATTCATGCATCAAAGGGTTAAGAAGGTTATTTCATTCTTAGATGCGTTTTATACGCAAAAACATCATAATGGTTCAACAGCTAAAAGTAAGAAAACATCTTGCAGAACAATGGCAACGGTTAATTCATAACAAATGGCATGAGAAGCTTCCCACACAGCTGGTTTATGGAAGATTTCAAACACCACAGACTTCAGCTCATCAAAAGGCCAATTAGCCAACTGTTTCCTTCCTTTAGCTTCTTTTTTCTTATTGTTGGAACAGCTTGCATAGCACCAGGGACTTGATCTCCAGTTTCTGAACTCACAGGAACAACAGGTCTGTTGAAACTTTAGGGAAATCCATGTGGTATGAGATGAAGTGTTAAAATCCTGAAGTACCGAATGTGGTGTCTGCCTGCATGGCACAATGCATGCCTGTGCCATTAAATGTTTGTGTGAAAAATGATTTATTTGAATAGTTGAGATGGAATAAATCATTCATTTCTTAACTCATTCACTGCCAGCCGTTTCCTGATCGCTAACGGCCTTCGCTGCCAGCGTTTCTCACCTTTTTTACTGTTTTTTTAAGAGTCACAGAACGTTGTGCGCTAGCATGATGTTGATGCCAAAACAACCAAAACAAAGAGGAGACTCACCTCTTACATCAGGAAGAAGCCGCGTGTTTCAACCGTTATCCGTTCTTTCATAATCCATTGTTGAATTGTGATCGGCAGACGCTTTTCCGGTTCGCGCCTCACTTTTTTTTACAGGAACGGCCCAAAACGATCTCCAAACACATGGATGGTCTGCTTCCTGATCATGTGATCTGTGACGTATGCGGATGAAGATCGGCTTCAGGGTTGGGATGTTTGTTCTCTCAGCGTGGGGGCTCGTTCTGATGCTCAAACAGTAAAAAAAAATGCAAATGACGACTAGTCGTCATTGGCAGTGAACGGTTGGATCTAAAATGACGACTTTAGTCGTCAATGGCAGTGAATGAGTTAAGGTGAAAATGTAAAAGCAAGCTGGACTGTTTTTCCGGGTACTGCTTCCAAACACAGGCTCATTTGTTTCTCATCCTACCCGGCTGAATAACTGAGAGTAATGTGGACCAGCAGCAAAAGTTGGCAAAGTTACAGTAGGACTTGGTGATATGGCCTAAAATCAATATCACGATATATTGAGGATTTCACCTGAATAGCGTCACATGGACGATAACTGCAGGTATGTGCAGAAACAAAAGTTGTCCACTAGATGGGGCTGTCACATGTATTACACTGAGTCACATTTTTACATGACTTAAAGTGGTACAGCTTCTTAAAGGGACATGAACGTTGCCAACCTACACACATATTTTCATTTTTTTATTATCATATTTATTGACATAGGAAAAACGATCCCGAGAAGAGTCCGCAATTTTGATTACGATAAATTTCCAATTTATTGCCACCCCTAAGTTATAGTGACAACAAAAATATAAATCACAAGTTATTTTCAAAAAAGAAAACTAGATATTCAAATCAAAATACAGCAAAACTTTGAGACACCAGCATAACAATACGCAAACAGCATAAGCTGAATTGGTTCTCGTGACCATAAAGTTTGGGTTTTTCACAAAGCTGGAACTTTGCATATAAATAACTAAGATGTTTGTAAACACACATTTGTGGGTTTTATTTTTATTTTTTTGACCATTCTGAGCCGATTTTCTTCTGGTGCAATAACCTATGAGGTCGGGACGATTTTGTTTTGTATAGCATACCGAGGGTAACGAGAGGGGATTAACGCCTCATGACAGGCTCCCAATCAGTAAGTGAAGTTGCCTGAATATTAAACATGTTTGATATTTTGCTTGTCCCTTGTTAGGTCATCACACTGTTGATGTGACCCAAAAGTACCAGAACTGCTCACACAGCGCCAGTGTTAACATGGCTGCCAGCTGTTTTTGTGTCAGCCCACGCTTCTTTTTGTTTTTACACTTTTCGCTGTACACAATGGCAAAGATAGTCAAGAAAGCATATTTGCCATGTTTGTTAAAGGGGAACTAGGCAGTTCAGGCTTGCTTTTAGCACCCTCTAGTGTTCATTTGTAGAACTAAAAGCAAAATCTATCTCCTAGCTGTGTGTTTGTCTTTTTAACATTTTAGTCCAACAGCTGAAATGTCTCCCCACCCTTCATTAGTTTCTACAGGAGCCATTTGTCAAAAAAATTAAACAAATCAGCTGTGTTCATGATCTAAAATATGCAGGAAGTGTGCTGGAACCAGACTGCAGCACCAGGTATGTCAGCTCAATTTTTCCTAAGTCTAAGTTGCAAGTGGAATATTCTGGCCACAGGGGGGCGTTAGGGACTGGGAGTCCTTTCAAGACCCTGTAATGGGTCATTTTAGCACATACTGGCTTAAGAAAAAATAAAAAATAAACCACGAAAAAGTTGCAAAGTGTCCCTTTAAATATAACTGGTCACAAAATGTTGTCTTAGTTCCTTCCTTTCGTTTTCCTTCTCCAACCACCATAAACCCCTGCGTGTCATACTACAGCTGAAGGACAACAGACATCAATAACAACACAGCAGCTTCTGGGTCTTCTGGGTGAGAACATGACTCGTTAACTTTGCTCTGCGAGGAAGTCGTACAATTTGAGATGGAGCTGAATGCAATGAGTGAAAAATCCCCGCAGCATACGTCCGGCTAAGCTTTATAACCAATGTTAGACAGGGTACTACAGCCAATAGCACAAGTTAACATTCCATTGGAGCAAGAGGTAATGCATTCCGTTTGGAATGAACTCCGTCTGGAATGTTGCCTTGGTTGGAGGCTGGTGTCATTAGAAAGCTAAAAGTTGATGAATGGATGCACTAAGCACACTTGAATAATTGCATTTGTCTCCCTGTAGAAGCACACGCCGAAGGCTTAGCATAGGGATCGATCAGCATTGAACTCTGTGGAATCTCTGCAGAGCATTTCATTCCCGGTGGAGAATAATCTTGAAGAACTAGAAGTATTTTCCAGGATTAGTCATGAAAAATAAGCGTCACCTTAGAATCTTGTCTTTTTAAAGCAGATGGTTCACAAGTTGTGACACTTCTCAGAGGCTCAACAGATCAAAGACAGTGTTCACACAATCTCCCTCTCCATTGTATCACAGTTTACTTCATAAGTGAAAGAAATGAAACAAAACAACAAAAGCAAAATAAGACCAAAGTAGAAAATAGTAGCATGGAGAAGACACTGTAGGCGATTTGTCTGAGAACAAATACCTGTGTCAGCGTTCGCTTTCTTGTGGGAAAAATTATGCTGAGTCAGCACACCTCTGCCCTGCAGACGGGGAAAAGAAAGCAAAGCCAGCTGAGTTTGCGTTTTTCCTTCAGGCTTTTTCTCACTGTTTGTTTGCCCCATATTGGTTTAGAACAGTTGGAATAACAATAAACATTTTACCAATAAAAGAGTTTTTAAATGTTAGTATGGAATTATGCCAAACCACCCACTGCTGAGTGGTGGTCAGTAATGTTTTTGCCTGCCTCTATGTGCTTTTGTCACGAACCACTTGATGGATTTTAATGGACTTCTTTTGAAGTCAGTCCATTTCAAGATGGCTACCATAGAAATTAATCTTGGCAAATGCAAAAATAGATGAAATTCAGTCAACTTTACAGATGTTGAGCTGTAATTTCCTGTGTTAGTTGTAACACTGTCAACATTAATAGTTTGCACGATTTCCAATATCAGGTGAGATTAAGCATAGTTCATTTATCAAAATTTGATATAAACAGCTTCATTTCTGTACTTAAGATCATCTTATCCCAGCTTTCCACTAGATATGTAATAATCACGTAACCTAATAGCAATTGTTATGATCAATGGGCTTGTTTCCACCGAACGTGGAGCAGCGTATCTCGAACGTACCCCGGAAGCATTGTGTCGTGGCTCTGTGCAAAATGTATGCCTCTGGTCTATTTTTTAATGCAAGTTCAGTTTGGGCCACATAAAAAAAATCAAACACAGGAACAGTGTACAGTATCTGGAAACTTTCAGAATAAAAGACACATATACAGATTTCTTATTGCTTAACTATTAAAGTTCTAGGTAATTTCTTGTGGCACTTCCATGGCCAAATAAAAAGGAAAAACACAGAAAATAAACAACAAACCTTTTGGATATGTGCTGCTCTCTTTCTCCTTGATTATGAACTGGCAAAATCAAGAGGGATCCTGCAATTTTCCTTGTAGGACCAGCTGCTTTGGAATGTGCCCCCATCCGCCGTACGGCTAAAGCACTTCCTGTAGAAAGGGACGCACCATTAAGGTCGTGGGGTAAAAAGCATATATTACATTACACATCCAGTGGAAAAGCCTGGGTTTGTCTAAAACCAAGCAAGTGGTAAGCATACTTTTTAAAATGTGTTTGATGTTTAAATGTGTGGTTCACGGAAAACCCATTTTTTTAAATGATTATTTCTGATTATAATCGGCCACTCTGAGTTTTTTATGCAGGCGGAACATGAAAACAGTCTCCTACACCTGCCTCCTGCATTAGCTTCTGATATCGTCGTCGTCGTCGTCGTCTTCCTCCGCTTATCCGGGTCCGGGTCGCGGGGGCAGCATCCCAACTAGGGAGCTCCAGGCCGTCC